TTGTCAGTCCTTTGCGCTATTTTTGGCTAGTGCGTTTTATCTCTGTTCTTCTCCTGCTGCATGGAGCTACCGCCGCCTTTCTGTTGCTATCCTTGGAAAAATGCCTCATTCTTAACAATACAAGGCAGATTACTGAATGATGACATTGCTATTTTGCTGCCTGATATAATCCCAGCAATGCACTTTGATTTTATTTTGGAAAGGGAGCTGGATTTGGTCTGTGAGCTGAATGTGGCTACATGCATATGAATGGTGTTGGACTGGGGTCCGGCCAAGCATGGCGGGGGGACATGTGCATAGTGAGATGAGCCATGCATGTACTGATGGTGCACAGCTCCCAGCAAACCTTTTTGGGCACTGTTTGGCCGGTGAACCAAAAAAGAGTTGCATGCCCCCTGATGCAGAGAGAGATACTCACAACAGCGTGTCCCAAACCTACAGAATCCGCACCCACCAGCAGAACCTGCCCCCCTTCCCACTGTCACAATGCTGCACTACACATGGTGAATGGCTGCAGTGTTTCACCCTGGATGCGGGGAACATTCTATGTTCAAATTTTAGCCATGAAACTCAGTGTGTGCTCAATTATCTTGTATCCTAAATTAGATTAAATAACAGTGCATGCTCCTTTGTCCTCTTGGGGGAGGGAAGAGTGAGAAACAACAACAAATTAGCTAAAGTTGGTTTACACATGATACATATTTCCTTGGTGGAACTGCAGCTTTCTTGCTTGTATTGGATCTAGTTCTCCCCCCCACCCCCGCCCCCCCACCCAAATTCATGCTTCTAAGCCATGCGAAGCTGAATGACTGACTAGGGCTCAGTTATCTGCAGCACAATCCTATGTATGTCTACTGAGAAATAAGTTCCACTGAGTTCAACAGGCCTGACCTTTCGTTGGGTAGGTTAGCTCCGGTGAACCCAATTATTTTGCAGCAGACATGTGGAAGATCGTTTTGCAACCTAATGCAATCCCAAGGCTATTGTGGCTATTTTCTTGCTTATGAGTTCTAATAAAGAGCCTCCATAAATACCCTCTGAATAAATGGAGAAAGCTTATCCAGAAAACATGTGGTGTATTTCTAGTGAAAGTGAAAAGCACTGTTTTAGGGACCTTGACTTTTTATTAAATTGCCTTCATTTAGGTACTTAAGAACATTTGAGCAGAGCATTAGGTTAGGGGAGACCACATCTCATTCATCACCTCATGGCCAACCAGATGCCCATGGACAACCAGCAGGTGGAACACGATTGCAGCAGTTCCACACCAGTAGCCATTTTTAAAGATTCAATAAATTAGATGTGCAGAAAAATGCCAACATTCCCCCAGCCCTCTAAAGGGGCTTGGTTTCCATGAATGGGAAAAGCTGTGGGGCTTCTTTATTTATTTTATTTTTATTTTTTTGATTTATATCCTGCCTTTTTCCTACAAAGGGCTCAAGGCAGCTTACATTATCTCTCCTCCTCCATCTTATCCCCACAACAACAACCCTGTGAGGCAGGTTGGGCTGAGAGACTGTGACTGGCCCAAAGTCACCCAGTTGGCTCCATGGCCGAGCGGGGACTCGAACCCAGATCCTCTGAGTCCCAGTCCCATAGTAACCACTACACCACACTGGCTCTGCCAGGTGTGCTAATAGGATTCACATCATTATCCTTGGCAGCACAACTTGCTGTGTCATGTGAACCTGGTCAGGGTGGTTTGTTGCTGTGTCTAACAAGCCACCTCAGAACCCTACAACAGCCCAGGATTATGGGTGGCTTGTTAGCTACGGCAACAGGCCATCTTTGCTGGGCTCACACCATGTGACAAGCCATGTTGTTGGCGGCAGTTATGCTAATCCTGCTGGCGCCCAGCTGGCACTTACAGAGTGCTTAACAAGACATTGTGGATATCAACCATCCTGTTACCATGCAAACGAGGTCACATGCTCCCTTCCAAGACACCAGAGAGCAACCTTCTCTCTTTTTCTTCAGATAAGTTCTGCTGCTCTGAGTTGGTGTACATGTAAGGTGGGATAGGGATCATTTGGCAGTAAGTTCTCTGGCCAGCTGGATCAGGCAGCAATTGGAATACTCAGCAGTATTCCCAGCTAACATGGCCTCCTGGGGGAACCAGCTTGGGGAAGGCTGCAGCTTCCCATCTATTGTCAAGAAAGGTCCTATCCTGACAGATGCCATTACAAGCTATAAGCAGTTGCTTGCAAACAGCGATCTTTTCAACACAGTTAATGTCATTCCTAAAGCTTGGGCAGAGATTCAATAGAGATATCTCGAGGTTTATTTTCTGAGTTGAAAATACACATGTTGGTAACTTATAATGCTTACCTCAAGCTCAGGGTAAGCACCACAGTCCCCAAAGTATAAAGTTTCAGATTTTAATCCAATCAGGAGATGAGGTTAAGGTTCCCTCCTACTTACCATCCTTGTTGCACCAGTAACAGTTGAAGGTTTGGATCTTGTCCTGCTCAAGCACCTGGTACACTCTCACAGCTGTGAGCCAGGTACACCAGGATGCATAGCTTTCCCAACAGCACTAAATCTGCTGGTGTGGAGTGGAGGGGGAAAGACTACACTGCACTGCAGCCAGTACACCAAGGCAAGTAAATGTGCAACCACACGCAAGTCTGGACAGAAAAAAGCCCAGAATTCGCAACATGTAACATGCCTTTTTGTCTAATTTGCATAGGATTGTGCCCTAAGCAGGTGTGCTGCAAAGGTAGCTCAGTGAACACGTGTGTGGTATGTGCATCTATCTACGTGTGCAACCCCACTCTGCCAGCACCAGCCAGAGCATGGGGTGGGAGGACAGATAACTGCTGGTGAAACAGCCCATTCTGGCACAGTCAGTGCTCCTGCGGTGTTCCCTGGAATACTGGTGGCTGGGCCAAGAGGGAAAGAGTCCAGGCAGTGTCTCGGGATCCACACTGTGCCCTGGCACAGCAAGCCCTCCAGGCAACTTTCAGCCCAGGATAGCTATTTATTAATAGATTACATTAACACTCCTTTTTTGTTGAAAGAACTCCAAGCAGCTTACATCATTCTGCTCCTCCTGCACTCAATCTTATCCTCACAGAAACAACCCTCTGAGGTAGGTTGGGCTGAGAGCCTGTGACTGGCTCAAAGTCACCTGGTTGGCTCCATGACTGAACCAGGACTAGAACCCAAATTGCCTAAGTCCCAGTCTCATGCTCTTAACCATTACACTGTACTGGCGAGCTCTTTCCATCCATCCATCCATCCATCCATCCATCCATCCATCCTAGGCTTAAAATATCATCTGAACTTCTGAACTTACCCTCTGAGCCTCTCTTCCCAGGGAAAAGACTCAAGCCTTTCAAGTCTGAATTGAAACCACTCAAAGAAAACTGCAATCACTAGGCTCTTGCTTGCCAGAGCAGGTGCCGAACTTGGGTACCTGGTCTCCCATAGCCAAGGTTCCTTGCTTTCCTTGAGACCAGGAGTTGCCACATTCACTAGTTCTTCTCTGCAGGAAAGGGCTTCAGCCCAGGTAAGGGTGTCCACTTTAGGTTCTTAGTGCAGACTGAACCCTCCAACCTTTCTTCAGCCTCTCCTTCCCATGGTCTTGAAGATCACTTTTAGGCCTGGAGTCCAGCTTTGCAAAGAATGCAGCTAATTTCCTCCATCAAAGCATAAGTCAGGGAAGGCTAGAGCCTTTCTAAATGGTGTGTTAACAAATGTAGTTTTTAATCTAATTCCCCCCAAAATGAGCTTTGCATTTGAACTGTGTAAACCTCCAGAAACGTGCCAAGGTGGTATTACCTTCTTCAACAGTGTCTGTGTGTAGATCAGTTTGGATGGGAATTGCCTTCTTAGCCATGAATGTTCTATGTGCAAATGTCTTCAAATTCCTTATAAGCAGGTGTGTGTGTCTTCGTGGAACATGCACTAGTTTGAAGATGAGTCTCTTGAGAGCCCATCATATAACACTCCTCACTGACCGACAAGGGCTCTTCAGGGTTTCCAGCTGTTTTCCTACCGACTGCAGATGCTAAAATCAGTTCTGGAACCACCTGCAGCATGCAAAGCATGGACTCTAGCATCAAACCATCTTGTTTCTGCAATCCAGGGTGCAATCCTATCCATGTTTACAAAGGAAAAAAAAAATCCTGCAATGCCTGGCTGGGAATTCCTGGGCAGTGTAGGACTTGTACCTGTCAAAATGCACACAGGATTGCACTCCAATACACAAGAAGGACTTTAGAAAACCATTAACTGTGGGAGGAATCACAAAATTGGAAAAGAAAGGTGACTACAGAATGATACCAGCACTGTTCTGTTTCTGGTTAAAGAGGTGTGGGTGGATTGGAACTGGCAAAAATGCTTTTGGCAGATAGGGCAGAAGGACCACTGTGCCGACCACAGGCAATAATGCTACCATCAGCACATGAATCCCCACCCCCCGCACACACATAAAATAGTGTCTTCCTCCCGCTGCTGAATAACTGTTTCAAAGTATTTCAAAAAGTTTGCTATGATTGGAACATCCGAACAACAGTACAAAACGGCTCCCTCAGAAGAACAATTACTGGAAAAGGACCTATATTGGGCCATTTTCTCACGAACTCTGTTTTGCATAAGTAGCAAAAAAAATAGAACTCTCTGAACAAAAATATGTTCTGCAATTTGGCTGCCAATGCTCAGAAACGCAACAAGGGCCACCGCCCCCATAGCCCGCGTTGAAGCGATAGAGCCACCGTTTACTCATCCTTCCAGGAATGAAAGTGGGGGGGGCTCCCACGGGTTCTGTGTACGTGTTCCAAAAGGCGGGGCCATTCTTTTGCGTCTTGCATGCTGGGAGTGGTAGTTGTCGAACCGTGCTTTAGCCTGGTGAGTCGATGAGTACGAGAACTACGAGTTCCAAAGGCGTTAGAGGTGTTATCTGGGGCAGATTTCTCGGCGCTTGGATTTTAATCACACGTGGGAGTGGTGAAGGCAGGAGGGTTGGGGTGTGACAGAGAAGCAATTCCTGGCACCACAGGCTTGTAACTAGTTCATCTGGGCTTTTATCCAGTGAAGTCTAGGGGCGGCCAAGCGGAAAAACCTCTGATACCTAGGAGGAAAGTCCCAGCTGATCTTAAGGGGAGGGGGAGATACTTAGAGACCTTGCATAGAACAACGATAGTTAACAATATAAACGCATCTCTCAGTTGATTACTTATACTGAGTAAATACCTCTCCCTCCCCACCCCAGCATTTTTATCTGCAGCTTCCAATCTCTGATGCTAAAGTTTCAGATCGCTTAGAACCATGGGGAATGGGATGAACAAGGTAAACGCTGCTTATTCTACTTTTCCTTAAAGATTGTGTTGTGCTCCCGTGTAAGGTCTTACGAGTGACCCACAAGAGTCGTGATGATCGCCCACCTTTTCGGTCGGTAGAAATGGGTGTGTTAAGGCACATTGGCTCCGGGAACTTTCTAGAGACTTAGAGATTTTAAAAGCGAACAAGCGTTGGCTGGGAAACGAGGGCGTTAGAAGAAATAGGGGAATGTACGCGAGATGCCTCCCTGAGCAAATATCCTGCGCACGTGTAGCCTAATCCCGTGTATGTCTGCTGAATTCGGAAGTAACTCAGACTGAGTTCAGTTAGGGTTCAGTGCGATCTGCTGCTCATGCACAGCGCTATTCTATGTATGCTTAGTGAGAAACAATGATCCCCACTAAGTTGAATTGGACTTACTCCCAGGTAAGAGGGTGCAGGATTGCAACTCAATCTCCTCCGCTAGAATTCTCGTCTTGGCTCTTGGAGGATCGTTACCCTAAAAAAATATGGGGCGGGGGGATCAATCGCCTGTCATATCGATCTGTGTAGTTGGCCCCGCCACAGCTAAATTAATCAACAGCATTATGTAAGTACGCATCTCCACGGCTAGTTTCCTTTCTTTGAGGATTTGCGTCTTGCTCATTTGCATATGCAGACGGAAACGCTTCAGCTGGTCGAAGAACTTGCAGCTGGTAATATTTCAGCAAGCGGACGGCTGGTGCCTTTAAATCCTTTAAATCGCTCAAAAAGAAATAGGAACCTCCGCTTTCTTCTAAAATACGTTGTTATTTCCAGTGCTGATACGGTACGAGAAGGGGGGGCCACCGCTTGCTTCTTTCGAGCTGTTTCGCATATTTCCTTTATTCTGCATCCCCGCCCACACAGGCAGCGTTCACCGGTGATGCGTGGACACGGCTTGAAGGTGTGAACTGCCCCTCCTTAAGAAGTATTGCGTTGAAGTTCGTGTGAATTCAGAGGTGTTTAAACCGTGACGGCTCGTGGTGGTGCCGTTATCAGGTGATGATATGCACAACCCAAAGTTGAAGAAGGACAAAGAAAGGAAGTTGGATGAACTCCAGTTCAAGCACTGGTGACATAATTGCATGTGTGAAATGTGCCTTAATGTCACCCTTGTGATATCTTATCCAAGAATGCATGCTCTGGGTACCCCAGTTAGCCACATCCCTTTCCCCTCAACCACCAATAGTTTTCTGACTTTTGTGCAGTTTCCCCCATCTGAGAAGATTGACATCTCTCTCCTAAGGCTTGACTTCCAGCAGCAAGAGCCTCAAGTCAAGATATTTATGTGATTGGCTTTTGTCTTCTGATCTATCCACTGTTGGGCAATGAGCCCCAAGAGCTTTTCTGAAATGCAGTTCTACCCTCAGACTGAAAGAAATTTATGCATGCCTGTAACTGTGTGCCTTGGTCCATGGCATAAATAGAAGCAATAAATACTTTGCACTTCATTGTTGTTAATTTCCTGAACCTCATTTGAAGAAAAGTAATTTAATTATTTTAATCAGTATGACCTGTCTTAGTTACCAATAGCTTGCAGCTAATAAATAGCTGTTTGAAGGGCCTTCACTATCTGAATGGTTGGTTAGAACTCCAATCACTAACATATCCTGGAAACGGGACTTGTATTCATTGCAACAAAATTTCCATGTAAATGGGTTTACTGCTGTGACCCACCTTTAATTCAATTTATGATCAAAAATGCTTATACCTTTCTTCAGAAAGTGACTGCAGGGTGGCTTACATAAAAGCACTTCATACAAGAAATAAGAATACTGTGTAAAAGTACAAGTAAATCAGAATCAAATAAAATATTGGACATAAGAAGACAAGCCTGATCCATCAGATCCAAGGCTTATCTCGGCCAGCATTCTGTTTCAACAGTGGCCAAGCGGATACCCACAAGCAGAATACGAGCGCAACTGAACTTATGTTCAGCAAGTGTCCTATGGAGGCATGTGGCCCTAATGACTAGGAGCTATTTACAAAGCCAGGAGAGAGCCAGTATGGAATAGGGTTAGGGATATAAATATAATAAATACACAAAGAAACACGCAATTCAAAAGTTTCTGGGACAAGCAAATGTCTAACAGACATTTAGACATGTCTGTGTGACAAACCTCCCTGGGGAGGCTATTCCAGAGGGCAGGTGCCACCCCCACAAAGGCCCTGCTCCTAGTGGCTGCCTATGGTGTCTCATTCAGCTGTGATACTTGGCGCAAGGCCTTCCATTGAAATAGATTACTGATCAGTGCAAGTCAAGCAAGGTGTAATATGCTCTGAATGGATAACACCAACTGAAAGTCTGGCAGCAGCATTTTGTAAGCAAATGAAGTGTCTGAAACTTCTGTGAGGATACTCTCCAGTGAGCCATGACAAGGCTTGACTTTGTCAGGAAGGATTGCAGTTTGTCAAAAATGGGATAAGACACTCCACTGGGTCATTGAGCAACCCACAGTCTAACTGGTGGGCTGAGGCCCCTTTCCTTGGCTTGTCGTAGTCAGGATGGACTGCTGTGTTATCCTTGTAACAGTCAGTTACAAGGATAGTCGGTCCTTTAGCCAGTTGTGTTAACAGTCAGTCCTTTATCCTTTAAAACTCAACCAATTACTTGTTATTACCTTTCTTGCTTATTTCAGTATGTGTACAATCATGGTTCACCTCATCTCAACAATATCACAAATGTGATCATTTATAACCTTATTAATTTTCTCATTAAATAAGCAGACATAAATATGCACCTGAAAAGTTGGCATGTTTCACAGTGCCCTTGAACTTGGGATCCCTGACCAGGTGCTTAGTTACCAGATGTTTGCTTGCTCCTTTCTTAACTAATAAAATAACTGGCCAGGAGCCAACCTTGACCATAGAACAACTAGTGGGGGGGGGGTTAATGTTGTGGGGAAACATTCACAATCAAGTAACTCTTCTGCAGAACCTGAGATGGCGTAAGTATGTTTAAAAGCATACTTGCTACTCTTGCAGTGGTACCTTTGCTGGCCTGCAAGTTTCCAAGCAAGGAGTTTATTAGGTGGGTGGGAACACACAGCACCTTCAGTACCTGGCCAACACAGGTCGGGCTTCACAGGGGAGGGGATACATTTCCATGGACCGACTTGGTACAAGCAGCCAGGGTCAGGGTCAGCAGCTGCCCTGCTGTGGCAAGGGTCATAAGGGTGCGCTTAGGAAGTGGCAGCTGAGTGCGTGGGCTGGTGAGCTGGGCTTTGGCTCTATCTTTCTTCAATGAGTTACAGTGATGCTATGCTGAGTGCCGTAATGCCATACTAATGTCCTATGGAGATCAGAGGCTGAACTGCAAAACCAGGTTCCCCTGGAGATGACCTGGCTTATCAGTATAAATGACCTTAGTTGGTAAATTGAGCGTCTCCTCTGGCCATAGCCGTGTATGGTGTGGGCAAGCGAAATCCGCCAGTGGTGGATTACTTCAATTTTTAGCACTCCCTTTGTTCTGAAGCCAGAGAGGCTTACTTGCTTCCCCTTAAAGTTTCTGATGAGGACAACCCCCAGAGACTGCGAGCACCTGCTGTTGCCACAATTGGTGCTTGGATCATCTGGCTGCTCTCTGCCCTTACTCTGTGTCCAACCGACTGGGGACGCTGCATGCAGTAGCCTGTCTGGCCTTGAATCCTTCCTGTTGCGAAGTTAATGACATTTGCTCACATTCTTCTCCCCATGCTCCTTTATCTCTTCTGCCCTTGTTCACTCCCTTATTTCATCTGGACAGTTCCTTGGGAGCAGGGACCTGGCTTGGTCATTTTGCAGGACATTATTCTAGGTTAGGTAGACCAGTGGACTATCTCGATCCTGGCCTGATGGGCAGCAACTCCCCTGACATTGAGGCAGGATGGTGCTGTGGACTGAATCAGGGACGCCTTTGTGTGCAGAACTTATGTTCTGCCCCTGAGTCACAGCCTCTCCTCTGGGTCATCACATACAGTGGTGGTGTAGTTTCAGTGAGTAATTATCCATAATCATACCTCCAGGAATTTGGTGCTCTTCTACCTCATGTATAAATCCTCAAGGCCGATCTTGCACACTGAGAATCATGGTATCCCCTAGATGTGTTGAATGTCAGACCCCGCTACTGCAAGCCACTGGTCATGCTGCCTGGAGTTGATAGCAGTTGTAGTCCCAAAAATTGAGAGGGTGCCAGGTCAGCGAAGGCTATGTTAGGATATGGGTTGCTTCTGGCCTGTGGGGAGAGATAAGGAGAGAGGAGATAGTGGGGGTGTGAGGGTTGATGAACTTAATCACATGTGTTGAACAAGTCTAAATATGGGCTTCAGTTCTTCCTTGATTTTGGTCCCTTTTGTTGCTTGACCCCATGCTTAAATCCACTCCTAAATGCCTTTTATCAGCTGTCAGTTCCATGGATTTCAATGTGGCTTATTTCTATGTACTCTTAGGATTTGGGATTATAATGATTGATGTGAGTGGTGCTTTATCTTTCCATTTTACCTTAAAAAGTTTGGGTGATGGATGTGACATCCACCATTACCCACATTAATGTACTTTTGTGTTCTTCCTGCCCCACATCCCCAACCCTAGTTTGTGGGAGCTACATTTAAAAGCTGATTTGGGAATAGCTTGTAAGTATAATAGTGGATGAAGACTTGCAGTTCTGAAGCAGACTTTCTCCTTTCCTTTATCCAGTCACAGAGGAGGAGGAAAAGACCTCCTCTCACTCATCTCAGAGGGTAGGGCATGGAACAATGAACTTAAACTGCAGTACACCAGGTGCAGGCTAGACACAAGGAAGAACTTCCTCACTGTCAAAGCAGCACAACAGCAGAACCAGTTGCCAAGAGAGATTGTGTGCTCTTCCACTAGAGGTCCACTAGAGACCTTCAAGAAGAAGTTAGACAGTTATCTGAGTGGGATGGTGTAACTGGCATCCTGCACCAGCAGGGGGTTGGACTCAATGCTTTCTTGCCCCTTCCAACCCTACTATTCTATGATCTTTTGCC